AGTTACCCCTGGCAGAGGGTATTTAAAGACTGAAGCGGTGGCAGGACCAAAGCAGGCTACCTACACAGAACACAGACCCACGGACAAACCACCACCACGGAGAGAACCGGGGACCCCCAGCATTTCGAGGGCTGGGGGAGGAAGGGCTGGCCGAAGTTACAGGACACGGAGGGGGAGGGTGCGACTTGAAAGACACAGTCCCCATCCAGAAGACATGTGCAGGCTTGTGGCCCGGTGATAACTGTATCCCTTTTCACACACTCCCAGGACTGTCAGCGCAGAAGACACGAGGGACACACACATAAAACCCGAGTCCTCGCACTGCGTGCGCCCCCTTCCGGTGTGGATGCTCAAGGCAGACTGTCACGGAGCCCGGATTTTGGAGACAGACAGCAGAACGCATTGGGGGCAGGTACTGTGGAGGAAGCCACGGCCCACAGAGAGGCGGCTAAATGGACAGGCACAGGGTGCCCGGGCTGCAGCACGGGGCCTGGGATATGCTTCCTCACGGACGAAGGGCTCCTGCCCCAGGATCTTTCCACACACTCCCAGGACTGTCAGCGCGGAAGACACGAGGGACACACACATAAAACCCTCGAGTCCTGGGATGCTTCCTCACGGACGAAGGGCTCCTGCCCCAGGAGGACTGAGGGGACCGAAGGACAGCATCGCCGTGTCACAGCCCGCTGTGGCAGCTAAACAGGTCCATGCACATCTGCACTCTGGTGCTAGGGGACCCGCCTGTCCGCGTGGCTAAGTTTCCTCCTCTCGATGCCCCTACCGAAGCAGACAAGGGCACCCGGGCAGCTAGGGTCGACGGCCACGCCTGAGACAGCGAGAACAGGGGACAAGTCACAGCTCCAGAGGCCCAGGGGCCCAAGGCCGGCCCACCAGCTGGACGCCTTCTGCGACTGGCTATCTTCAGGAACTTTCCTGACTGTCAGTAATGACACCCGGTTACAAGCCCGCCGCGGTCTTTCCCGTCCACGTGGATGCCACAGTGACAAACTCCAGACCACGAATTCTGATCTTTCCCCTTCTTTTCTTATATTTACAATGCATAGCAAAGCTGACCTGTAATGCAGACGCTACGGATCACAAGCTTTTAGTGTGAAGCTTAGGTGAGGTGTATAAATCAGTTCCTAATGATTTTTAGCTAAAACTGTCTTCGACTGGACACGTTCAGAATAAAGAGTAACTAACTCTTCGCTCCCAGAACAGATATCTTCATGATTGAACATAAACCTACAATTTATTTACAACAAATAAGTAAAAAGATGGGCCTCTTTCAAAACATGTTGACAGCAGACATTTCTCCCTTAAACCTATACTTTCTTATCGTTTGGGGAAAACTGCTCTTAAGCAGCAAATGAAAACTACATCTATCTATGTACATACATGGATGTCACTTAAGAGACTTTAACACTCGCCTCTGTGAAGATAGCTGATTTTCTGCAAATTCAACTCTGCTGCCAATGGAAATATGGTACAAACTGTGACTCCAATTTACACAATGCTTGGGTTAGAAAGAAGGCTCCAGAAAGTATTCAAGGGAAGAATCCAACACATAAAGCACAATGTGAAAACATTGACACAATCGTTCGCTAACAAAGTATCAACTTAGAAAAATAAGTTACGTCCTCAGCAGTGATTCTAATGCGTGGCCCAGTTAGAACAGTGGCCTCAAGGACACAGCCAGCAAGTGGCAAAGTAAAGGAACTTTCTCATCTGAATGACCCTGACCCAGAGAAAGACATATAACACACACCCTCGAAATGCCAGGACCTCCAACATGGGTCCACTTTCAGAAAGAAAACCCTCTGCCATGTGGCGATTTGTGTCTGATGTCAGATAAGTTCGTAAAAATTAAACAACTAACATCACTGGCTCATGAAAGAAAGGGCATTGGGACATCACCTCCCAACTTTGTGCTTTTCAAAATAAAAGCTAGCTCCTTCGGAAAGACGTAGAGTTTTGGCACAGGAAGATGAAAAAAGTTCTGAAAATGGACAGTGGTGATGGCGGCAGGACCCTGTAAGGCCACTAAATCACACACATTTTAACTGTGGTCAAAACGTCACTTTGATGTTCTGTCCATTTTCCCAGAGCAAACGCTAGCATTAATCAGGACGTAAAATCAAGACATGGCCGTTATTACACTGGCTCCCCCCGACCCGGCATAAGAGTGAGCAGATGTGTCCTTCTCCCTCCGAGGAGAGCTTCGAATTTGACGAGCAACACTTTAGGCAAAAGCCATGACTAACGACTCGCGGGGTCTCGAGACAGTGTCGAAGGCCACACCTCCTGGAGGTGACACGTCGCCTTTGTCTAGTCTCAGTCTTACAAACCCTTGTACAGAAACAAGTTTCGTGAGGCTCGTGCTGTGGTGTCATGTACTCCGTCTTCACGGCCAAGGACACCTTCCTGCCACCTCTCATCTACGAAGACTCTGAAAGGCCCCCGTCTCCCCCCATCAATGAAGACCAGAGGCCATGGCTGTCACCTGCCTGGACCGCACCACACCCCACCCCACGTCCCAGCAACTCAGGTCTGCGTGTGGCAGCCAAAGTAGCTGGGTTGTTTTTTCCCCATGCTTCCCTTGCCGAGAGAAAGTATCTCTTTGATAGTTACTGTGACCACAGGGAAAGCAGCCAGTAAAAGACAAAGCTTTGAAAATCTCCGCTCCTACCCTCTTTTGCCTATCAATAGTCTCACATTAGGTAGTGAGTATTAGGCTTGAACTCGGTGAGAAACGAACCTGAAGTTGGCATTAGCTTCATAGGGCAATGAGGCTGCCTGCTGGCATCTGCAGTGTGTCTCATTGTAGTGCATCTCACATGACAGACGTGGATGCTCACTGTGCCACAGTCCCATGCCTTACAACACAAAGACAGCCCTGGGCATTGTAACTAGCGGAGGTAACTTCCTAACGCCTTACAACGGAGTGGGAGCCACGAAGTGGGCAGTTTGGTCCCGCCTGGGCTAACTTGCTCTAACTCCGAAGTCCCTCTCCAAAAAGGTAGGCAGGCAGAGAAGTCACCACACACCCACGATACTGGCCGGGCCCCTCGGCTGCACTGGACAGACCAAACCCTCCAGCCCTGAGTTATTATTCACTGGCATTCCGCGTGGAAAACTCCCTCGGACAGCCCCAATTAAGAGTTAAATGTCTCACGACATGCAGAATGCCTTATTGTTCTTATGGAAATGTTTGCTCTGGAAGCAGCAGGCGGAAAAAAAAAAACAGTTGATGAAAGTCTTTCTGGAACCGACTTTTCATACTTCACTGAACGGATGTGACAGCTGATCAAGAATGAAGAC